TTAACGGCTGCACCCCGAAGGCCGATCTCAGCAGGGCGGATAGCCAGTAAATCCTCCGCAGCCGGAACAGCCAGACAGTCCTAATAACCAGGCTGGGAACATAAACTTGCAGTTGTGTAAATTAATCAGATGGAGTGTCCGGCGCGGTCGCCAGATCCGCCGAGAATCCAAGAGTCGCCTTGTAAATAACAGCGAGTTCCCAGCACTTAGTGGCTGGGCCAGTCACTCCAGTTTGTTAATTAAATAACGAGAGGCTCTGGAGAGCTGCAGGCACCCCCACCCCACCCCGGAGGCTGCCCGCTGTGCACCTCCACGATTGGCCGACCTTGCTTCTGCTCACAATGCAGAGAGTTGGCCGGATTTACTCTTCTGCGGATGAGGCTGCCCGTTGCATCTCTGTGCAATATGGCTTTCTTTCCAGTGGCGGCTTAAAGACTAGCAGCGTTTATTCTAGCACGAGCCAGAGCTCGTTTCGACCGATGCGTCTTGGAAAGGAATCGTCTCCCTTCCCGTCAGAACAGAGACTCTCAGAACAGCGACTCGTGCAGGGGCAGATGAAAGCTAGAAGAGTCTTGGCATTTTAACGCTCCAGAAACAAAAGCAGTGCGGGCGGTTAACGAGTGCCCGGAATTACAATTTAGACGAAAGCACGTCTTAGAGGTTTAAGAAACAACAGCTCACTCATTGCTCATGGAAACGCCGGAGGCAAGGTGGAAATTTATAGGCAGGAGGGACAAATGTTTCTCTGTCTTCCGCAGCTCCCTGAAACAACCCTCTGGACTCCTGGGTCCCCGGAGCCGGGCGTTCTTCTGGCTTGATAACACAGCAGCACATTTGGCATGCCGAACGGTCCAGGTTCAAACTGTATTTGCAGGGCCGGTGCAAGCCCCTCTCTGCTGGCTGATGAAGACAGTGCCGGGTTAGATGGACCAGTGCTCTGATAACAGTATCGGGCAGCGTCATATCTGGGGAAGGCCTCTTAGCGAGGGGTAGAACTTTTGCTCAGCGGGTCAGGAGGATCCAGGTTTGATTCCTGGCATCTGCAGCAACGGATGGTGGGTAAACACCTTTCCTTTCCCGAGGTCCTGGCAGGCCGCTGCCGGTCAGAGCAGGCGATCCCGGGGGCAAACGTCTCCAGTTTGGTGTCGTGGTTAAGTGCACAGACTCTAATCTGGGAGAACCGAGTTTGATTCCCCACTCCTCCACTTGCACCTGCTGGGTGACCTTGGGCAAGCCACAGTTCTGGCACAGCTGTTCTGGAAAAAGCCGTTTCTGTCAGAGCTCTCTCAGCCCCACCTACCTCACAGAGTGTCTGTTGTGGGGAGGGGAAGGGGAAAAGGACTTCGTAAGCTGCTCTGAGACTCCCTTGGGTAGCGAAGGGCGGGGTATAGAATCCAACTTTCTCGTCGTCTTCTCTTCTTCTCTGTCGCATCCCAAGTTCTTGGTTTGCAAGCCATCCCCTGGGATCCACCAGAGGAGCGTGCTTGCAAATATGAGAAATCTGTCCATTGAACACGCAAAGCCACGTTGTGCCGAATCAGACCCTTGGGTCCATCAAGGTCAGTCTCGTCTACTCCGATTGGCAGCAGCTCTCCAGGGTCTCAGGCAGAGACGTGTGCATTGGCTGCTCTGCGATCCTCTTAACTGGAGACACCAGGGATCGAACCTGGGGCCTCCTGCGTGCCGAGCAGGTGCTCTGCCACTGAGCCACGGCCTCTCCCCAAGTGGATGCCATCTGGGAATTTGTGGAGGATGTCACAACGCCACTGAGAGATGGCATTCTGCGCCCCCTGCAAGAGACGGAGACCCCCCCTGCAAAATCGAAGAGATGGAGTTCTAATCTCTCCTGTGCCCTGATCAACTCCCACACACACACACCCTGTGTCCCTTGCAGGGACAGAGAGATGTCTTGGGGAGGGGTGCCCTGGGGGGGCAGTATGAGTGTACCGGGGGTGGTGGTACCTGTGAGGGCAAGGGCACCTGCTTGGCACGCTTGGTCCTGTGGATTCAGTCCCCCACGGAAAGACCTTTCTCCACTGGAGTCCCCAGGAAGCGCTGAACCCCAGGCTACGGGGAGTGACGGTCTGCCCGGGGGGGGGGGGGGAGAACCCTGCAAACAAAGTCCCCGATCCAAAAGCTTGAGGGTCTCCAGTGAAAAGGGGGCTGGGGAAAGCCCAACTCTGCCTGGGACCCTGGGTCAGCTGCGGCCATTCAGAGCAGACGGTGCGGACCGATGACTTGACTAGCCCCACTGGCGGGCCTCCTGGTGGCACCCGGGTTTTGGCCACCGTGCGACCCAGAGTGTTGGACCGGATGGGCCATAGGCCCCCGATCCAACATGGCTTCTCTCACGTTCTCATTACTTGGCCTCAGGCAGCTGCCTGCCTTCTCCTTCCTTCCCTTCCTGGTGTCCCTCGCCCCAAAGCTGCCTTGAGCTGGAATCATAGAATCATAGATTTGGAAGGGACCTCCAGGGTCATCTAGTCCAACCCAACGCAGGAAATTCAAAAATCCCTTCCCCCCACCCACACACACACACACACACAGTGACTGCTGTTCCACACACAGAAGAAGACAAAAAACCTCCAGGGTCCCTGGCCAAATTGGCTTGGAGAACAATTGCTCCCTGACCCCAGAGGGGCGATCGGCGTTTCCCTGGGCGTGTCAGAAAGGGCCACAAGAACTCAGCGCCGAGGCAGCCCTTCGTGCCCTCCCTCTCGTGGTCTGCCAAAGTCCACAGCGTCAGCATCGCTGTCAGATGGCCAGCTGGGCTCTGTCTGAAAACCTCCAAAGGAGGATTCCTCCGCAGTTTCGTGATCCTCAAAAAAACCAGGATTACGAAATTGCGGGGGAAATCGGGCGAAGCCGCGAGTCAAAATGCAGCCCCGCAGCTTCGGGTGTGAAACTGACCGATAGTATCGGGCCAAACGGCGGCGCAACATCGAGGCAGCTCTAGTGCGAAATCAGCCAGACTGTCAGGAAGAGCTCTTCCTAATCTTTAGCTGAAAAGAGGAGGGGGAGGCGCTGCCGTTGTCCCGGGCGGCAGTTCCGAGGTCCTGTAGCTTTTTGGAGCGCCAGCTTTCTGGAGACAGCCAGAGCTGCCGGTGAGCCACGGTGGCCCCTTGGCACCGAGGAGGGAAGCTGTGCGCCTCCCCCGCAGAGACCCTGGGATTAATACGGCACACGCTGCCAGAGAGAGTTCCAAGCCATTGGCAGCTGCAGGAGGGGAACGAGGGAGCCTAGCCCTGTGCAGGGCTGCTGCTGAGTCAGACCACCTGGCTGCTTTGAGGAGTCGGCAGCCCGAGGCTACAGTTTGATGTCCACGTCGTGGGGGGGGGGGCGCTGACCGTGTCTGGCCCACCTTCCATCTCGGTGCGCAACCCCCCCCCCCCCCCCCCGGGGGCCCCCCTTCCGCGTCCAGGTT